GAGAGAGAGAGAGAGAGAGAGAGAGAGAGAGAGAGAGAGAGAGAGAGAGAGAGAGAGAGAGAGACATGCATCAACAACAGTGACGACGACGGAGGCATCAACGCCAGAGGATGTTTATAGATCAGGATGCAGGGGTAGGCCCCAGCAACAATAGAAAGTTAGATTCGCTTATCCAGAGCCTTAGGAAGATCACTGGTTTACTAGAGATTAGGTAGTCAAAACAGCACCGCACATAGCGTCTTACTATAAGAGAGCTAGGAGAGGAATCAATATAGTTGATAGATAAAGATTGTACCTTTCTCGGAGGACCTCGAAATTAGCACGGCGAGAGTGAAAGGCATTCCACAATGCAGACCACAAATTCGAATTTCAGGGTCAAGGTCTCAGGCCAAGGGAGGCCAAGGGAGGCCAGTTCAGGAAAGTCACAGTCGGGTACCTTAGGAGTCAAGTCCAACAGGCACCCGGCGAACAGCCACATCCCAGAGGCAAGGTCTCAGGCCAAGGGAGGCCAAGGTTGCGTTCTATAAGCGAAAGTCACGTCTCATATTGAGAAGTCATATCCCACAGGCAAAGGACACTTCTCCAGGCAAAAGTTGTGTCCCGGAGGCAAGAGTCACATCCCACAGTCAAAAGTTGTGTTCCACAGGTGAAAAGTCGTGACTCACAGACCCAAGCAGCAGCACACCAATGAAAATTCGGGAAAAGTACACCAGGCCTTGACATTCTGAAGCAAGCAGGCCGTGGACATGTGGTACCGGGTCCAAGTCACACCAAAGGAAGCAGAGGCTGGGACGAGTTGAGGCTCAGTCCAAGTCAATATAAGGACTGGCCAGCCACATTTCAGACAGAATGCTCATTCATGAGAAGTGTGGAAGTGCTGAAGCGCTTTTGCGCTATCTGCGAGTGGCATGGGCGAGAGCCCTGCTGGGCAGCGCTGTTCTGAGAGGGAAGCCGGCCATAGAGCTGATTAGTAGCAGATGTATTCAGAGTCAAGATTCTCAAGTAGAGAGAGGGAGAGAATACAGAGAGAGAGAGAGAGAGAGAGAGAGAGAGAGAGAGAGAGAGAGAGAGAGAGAGAGAAGAGAGTCACCTACCTCAACGAGGAGACTGGAATTGGATTGCGGAACTCTGCGCTGTTGAGCGCTTGGTGACTGACTGGATCTTGGAAACTGTCTAATGTGATAATTTTTGGAATTTCTAAGCTGCGCATATCTGGACTCCAGTGTGGATTTCGTGTGATCTCTCAATGTGTGTGTGTGCTCAAGGTATCCAGCAGTGAAACTCAATGCACATGACATAATAATGATGGCCCAGCTATCCTCTCGACGAGAAACCAAGAAAAAGAAAAAGGAAGACTTAGTGTTTTTTGCTATCGGTTGCAGAGATATCCCTTACAGTACCAACGGGCCTAGCTCAGTCGGTACACCTAGAAACTATTGAAATACAGACCTGAGTTCGAATCCAGATAAACTTGATGGATGAAATCAAATATTTACAACTTACCTGGGGCCGATCAGTTCGACAATGACATCGCAAGACTGTTGCCCTTTTTAGAAAAGGAGATATGCCCTATACAAAACTAGAGAAAGGAAGACATGGTTTTCTTCGTGGTCGGCTTTAGAGACATACCCTACAGAAGTAGAGAAGGAAGAGTTAGTTTTCTTCGTTGTCAGCCTCAGAGATATCGACCTATAAAACCACAGATACCATCACTCACCGTTCCCTTGCTGACTCACTCTGCTACTTTCTACCAGAAAAAAGTGCCTTAGCAAGTTAGCACTATACCAAAATAAAAGAACCTCTCAGGCCTCCCTCCCGAAAGTATATTCTCCACTGTGTACTTGGCACATCGCCTACCACCCCAAAAGGTATATTCCCTATGGCAGGAATGAAGTCTCCACTACTTCCAGTTTCCCTCTACCGCCCTCATTGCTTGCCACCCCAAAAGGCACACTCCCTATTCCGCCTATGGGAGGACGGAAGTCTCCACTACTTCCAGTTTCCCTCTACCGCCTTCACCCGAAATAGAACGCCCGGTCATTATCGCTGTCTTGCACAAAATACAGGCATAATGACCGACAGTAG